TGTGATTTTCGATGTTTTGAATCTAGTAATTCAGTTTGTAATTGTGTTAGTATACATAAATGTTTATCGGTCAATTCGAGATTGTTTCAAAGCTTTTGACAATTTTTTAAACTATTTTGTTTATTATTTTATTCATATCAATTTAACTATTTACTCATAAATTAGGTAAATTCAATAGAGTAAATAGTTTTTAAGCATAATACTTAATAGCAAGAGCATTTCATATTACATACGTGCATACACAGATGTAAATAACTCATACAGTGAATTATGATTGGTAGGGCTATAATTGACTAATTTTGCCACAAATTACTAAGTTTTATTAAGGAATTCATGGCGCACTCATCAGTGAAGCTGCCCGGTTGATAATTTTGGCTTAGAAATGACTGATTCGCATGGATGTAACATGAAAATTAGGAAGCAGATATATCTTTATTCTTGAAATGATAGGATTATTAAGAGCATATATTTGTAATTTATTAAAGAGATTAAGTCAAAAATCTAGTAATTAAACAGGTAATACAATAGCACGTTCATAAAGATGTAGGAAAATTTATACGTAGTAATTATTTTTGAGATCGACTTTTATATTCGAGTTTTGAACCAGTTTTGTTATTCACATGTTAAAACCAGTTTTAATCAGTTTTTACATATGAAAAATAAAACTAGTTCAAAACTCTAATTTAGCATATGAAAATAAGACTTGTTTTAGTTTAAGCTTTTCTGATTTATTATCTATATTAATTAACAGTATTATTTAAGAATAAGTAATAAATTATACGATAAAAGTATAATAGAAATAAAATTAAAAATTTATTATAATGATTAATTTTCAAACTAATGTGTAAGTGTGAAATTTGTTATATGCATTTTTAATGCTAGATACTTAAAGAATATTTGTATGCTATGAGTCAAGATTTTAGGAAGCGGGTCTGGAATTTTTCAACGTGTGAATGTTTATTGTACTGCCAATCCGGATTGAGAGTATGTAGTTAATATTGGATTTTATGATACATTTTCTTTAATCGGTTAATGATGAACAATATGCATGTTTGCTTATTTGTTATATTCATTTAAGCATTTATTCTGGTTTATTTTAATCGGAAAATAACTATGAAATATTTATTTATATCATTACAGATAAAATAATGAAGATGGTTACAAATAGTTAAGTGGTGTAAAAATGATAAATAAAATATAGAAAGGAAAAATAAAAGATAATTTGATATATAACAAATACATATATGTATATATATATGTATATATGTTAAATAGTTAACTTATAGATAACAATTATTCTTTATCAGAATTTGTAGTTGAATTATTTGGTTTTTTCGTACTGCATGTAATTCGAGTTGCGTGTTGATTGCAGATTTGTGTATTACATTTTTTGACTTTGTCTTCAAATTCTTGATTGACTTGAACAGAATCATGCGGGTTTGTTTTTAATTGGTCTTCAGAATTATTATTATTAGTGTAATCAACATTACTCGTTTTATCAGTGTTATCCATTTTAGCAGTTTCATTCAATTCATTAGATCTCTTGCATTTTAACGATTGGACGTTGTTATCTGAAGTACCAGAGCTTTCTGAATTGTTAGTTATATTTTGGTGAACATATAAAAGTTTAGATCAGGTTGAATTTGTTAAAGGTGATTCAATGTTATTTGGATCTTTTTTTTTAGCAACAAAGTTAACATCAATGTAATTAATATCATTAGCGTAAACATAAAATTCGTTCTCTATTATTTCCATTTGTCCAATCACAAAAAAAATTGATTCTTGTGGGCGGATAGTAGTTTTGAGATGCTTGAATCGCGAATTAATATGCGGAAAAGCAATTTTAATTGTATAGTTGTATGGTTGACCAGCATAATCAGATACGTGTGTTTCAATAATAGAATTTTCAGTTTGTTTAATTTAAATTGGCATTCCTTGTGGAATTCTTACTAAAGAAATTTTTAGGGGGCATTTATTGGAATCCGAAATAGTCTCTTACATGGCACACATACTTAAATTCTCCATCTGTAATATAGGATAGATTGATCAGATCTATCTGTAAAATAAAAGTACAATTTTAAAAAAAATTAAAATTAATTTAACTTCAAAAAATATAATAACATTTGTAAACAGGACAAAAAATGTTTTGCAATGATTGGTTTTGCAGCCAAAGGAAAAAACACTGGCTTTCTTGCTGCATATACAGTACAATTGTTTACAAATTCCTCAATGATTTCTTGCTTAATATATCACCATTTTTTGTGAATTAATTTTCATGTTTGTTTATGTTCTCTATATTAAGTAACCTCACTATAAGTTTAATATAGAACCTTATGAAATTTCTCTACTATTAGCATAGGATTATTGGTGGTCTTTACAATTACTCTATAATCCTCTGGCACAATTTCTTCGAGACTAAATTTTTTTTGAGTCAGGACCTTGTATTTTTATCACAAAGGGAGGTATCTTTTGTGTTTAATAAGATAGCTTTTATTTGGTTCAAAAGTTTATTATTTATTAAAACTTTTTTTTGTTTGAGCTTTGATATACTTTTCTACAATTTGGTCAAGAGTATTTCTACTAATGAAAGTATATTCTATTTATACAGATAGTAAAAGGTGCCAAGGCTAAAGTTAAAGTCAATGCTAAAAAATAAAGCAATGTCAAACAAAGATGAAGCTAGATCAGAGTAATAAAGAATAATGCTAATGCCTAATTTAAGCAAAGACAAGATCAAAGATATAGAATATATATAGATGCTAAGGTAAAAAAAAATGTCACAACAGATGGTGCTATTAAAAAAAAAAATGAAAAGTGATGCTATTAAAAAAAATCAAAAAAAATCAACAAAGTAATTCCATTAATAAAAAAAATATATATATATATCACAGCAAATTAATGCTATTAAAAAAAAATGTTGTGACAAAGTAATGGCAATAAAAAAAAAATGTTGTGACCAAGTAACACAATTAAAAAAATATTATGACAAAGTAACAGAATAAAGTGGCACCAGATAATTAAGCCTATACCAAATGTAAGAAGAGGAATTAAAAAAATGTTTAGAAAGCATGAAGCAAAGCTAATGCCAGATGTAAAGCTGAATATAAAAAGAGGAATTAATAGGCACCAAGATAAGCAATGTCAAATGTAAAAAAGGTTAGTGGCACAAGTAAATGTCCAATATCGAATTTGAATGTAAAGCCAATGTTAAATATGAAAGCGTAATATCAATGTTGAAGGTAAAAGATGAAATTTTAAGAAATTCCAATGTCGAATGCAAAAGAGATTTAAGCCAACATCAAAGGCAAAGAGAAGTAGAACTAACATTCATAAAAATGCTGATAACTTTACAGATAAAAAGTCAAGCTTCAAGAAAAAGAAGATAAATTTAGAGCAAAGTCTTTTTTATACCCTTATTTATTATAACATTATTGTTACTATATTTTTTATTAAGAACCTTTTTACTGATTTTTTGATGATCTTGCATCTGATCAAATCTTATACACCTCAGATGACCAATCTACAGATAATATGTGTTACTTGAAAATCAGCATCTGAGGTGCATCAGATTGTATATAATACAAGAACTGATTTGAGGCACAACAAATATATTCATTAATTTATTTTGATTTGTATATACCTTTTATTTTCAAATGTTATTTTATTTTATTTTTTTACTGATTTTGCTGCTAATTTCTAATACCAATAAACTTGTATTTCAAAGTACTGAATATTTGTGATAGCAATTTTTCTTACTATAGCACAGTTCTTTGTATATAATATAGATATGCATTTTGCTATAGCTTTTCTTATTCAAGCATGTTTTTTTATACTAATTGAGGCATATTTCTTTACTATTGTGCTATATAATACTAATCTTACTATTGTTTTATTAATCTTTTTTTAGTCTTTTAGCTGTTGTTATATCAAAATTTCTTTTTTTTGCTTCTATATCTCTATTTATCAAAATTAAATCACAATTTATTGCTAATAATATTCTTTGATCTACTTTATATTCTATTACTATCTGAAATTTGTATCTAGTACACAATTTATTATATAATCCTATGATTGTTATATAAAATAAAATGTGCATCTATATATGCCTTAAATGCTAATAACTACTCTGAAATATTTTTGAAAATAGTGTTGTGCTTATTCTTTTTTATAAATAAAACTTCACCTTCTAATATTTGCAGAGTTGTATTATCATATATATTTCTAATATTATCAATAATATTTTTATATACAAACTCTGCAAGATTACTAATAATTCAAAAGCTATTAATTCCATAATTGGTAGGTAAGTTTGGCTTTTTGGTAATATCTAGATTATTTTTTAACCTTCTGACTAGTTTATCACTCACCAAAATGAATTTTTTCTGTCTTTATTGCTTTTAGATTGTAAAAGCCTTGAATTATCCCTTAGATTGTAGTAGAACGCAGGCAAATTTGCCTGTGTTTTTGCACTTTTTTAGCTCTGATTTATTTTTTTAAAAAACCAAAATATTTAAATGAAACTTTGTACAATTATATT